TCACCTCTAGAGATCTTGGTCGACGTCAGGGACTTGAGGTCCTCTGACGGCTGTACAGATGATTCAGGGTCGTGTATGGTCTTGAGCTCACGAAGAACTCCCTGGGGCGTCTCTGCCCTCTTCATGATTGTCTGCCCTCTTCATGATTTTCTGATCTTTCTCGTTCAACGCGTGAGACAGGAAGTTCCACGCGTGNTTGACAGTTAGTCCTTTCTCGGTTAAGGATTTTGCGGTTTGGAGCATCTTATTGAGGGCGTTTTGGGGGTTTTCACCTCTAGAGATCTTGGTCGACGTCAGGGACTTGAGGTCCTCTGACGGCTGTACAGATGATTCAGGGTCGTGTATGGTCTTGAGCTCACGAAGAGCTCCCTGGGGCGTCTCTGCCCTCTTCATGATTTTCCGATCTTTTTCTTTCAACGCGTGAGACAGGAAGTTCCACGCGTGGAATGCGAGCTCTACTTGCTCGCTCCGGTACTGCTGTGACAGCGAAAACTTGCTCTTTCCGCTGTTGACGGGGATCTCCAAGCTCCCACCTTCTTCAAATTGTTCCAACAGGTTTGCGCCATTAGCTGCCATGCGGAAATCATTTAGCCATTCGTTGAAATCTTTCGATTTCCCGCTGAACGGAGGAGAAGTGTACCGCACACATTGGTACCCCATCGCCGGGGTTGTGGCTCCGTATCCAAAGCCAACAGCACCACCACCATCTCCCATGGCACTACTATAATCTTGGTTGTGAGCAGCGGCTACTCTCACCTCTTGGGGGACAAAGCCCCCTGCTTCGCCGCTGTGTCGCCCTGACGGGCCAGACTCTCGAACAGGTTCGCGCAGGTACCTCCCGTCCTGCGCACTCCCGGTCCACGGTGCCCCTCCTTCGGCGTTCGTGGACTCCGCGGCGGCGCTCTCCCTAGCATCGCCGCGATCAGCGGCACCCTCCATGATGCCAGCTGGCTCCTCCTTCTTGCTTGCCTTCATGGTATCTTCCCCTAGCGACTTTAGCTGGCTCGTCTGATCCGTCAGCGAGCTAACTTGCGTGCTCAGGGCCACGAGCTCTTCTCTTGACCTCTTTCTGTCTTCAGCCGCAGAGTCGCTGGAGGAGACACCCCCATCTTTGCGACCTGACATTCCTAATGGACTCTCCCTCGAGGGACTGACACTAGTGTGTTCGTATATGTCCTTTACTTGGAAGGGGAAGACGTTTTATCTCTTGTATTAGACACGCAGGGGGAGTAGGGAGAAGTGAAGCCCTCTTTGGAGTTCGAGGGGTCCCCGCACATGCAACCATTTCAAGGTGTACATATGCCCCATCTGCGTGCCCTCTGTTGTTGCCGGTAGATCTAACCAGTCCGTATCCAAACACACGAACAGAGGTGTTGGTACGGTCCTTGCATGTCGCGATCTTTGTAGATTGCTTCGAGTTCAGTTACATTTTCGTCCAGGTGGGCATAAATGCCCATTTCGACTGCTGTAGCCACTCCCTTACACGCTGCTTTGAGAATCCTCGACTTTGCTGAGTTCCAGTTGCCCCTCATCGCCCGGCGCGCTTCCCGCCGTTTGGTAAGGGCCTGCTCCAGCACTGCTCTCGTCTCTGGGGTCTCACACCACTCCTGCGTGCGGCGTCTCCGCGGTTCCTCCCCCAGGGTCGCCCGGGCTGCTTCGAGGAGAGCATTGATAAAGTCGGTCGCCAATTGCGCGGCGGTGGTTGTTCGCTCGTCTANATGCCCATTTCGACTGCTGTAGCCACTCCCTTACACGCTGCTTTGAGAATCCTCGACTTTGCTGAGTTCCAGTTGCCCCTCATCGCCCGGCGCGCTTCCCGCCGTTTGGTAAGGGCCTGCTCCAGCACTGCTCTCGTCTCTGGGGTCTCACACCACTCCTGCGTGCGGCGTCTCCGCGGTTCCTCCCCCAGGGTCGCCCGGGCTGCTTCGAGGAGAGCATTGATAAAGTCGGTCGCCAATTGCGCGGCGGTGGTTGTTCGCTCGTCTAGCCGTGTGTCGAGGTTGAGGAGGAACCGATTAGTCACCGCACACCGTGCTGCTTAGAACTGCACTTACCGTCGGTTGAATTGCTTCTGTTTCGGTTGTAGGCAAGCTTGCTACCGAGGTTGACGGTGGCTACTTCCATCTTGTGGTCTGAGTCTGCGTTGACTGGGCGAACCGGCTGGGGGATGACAACCACGTTAGATACTCGGCCGTGATGTGCCTGCCTTGTCAGGATGTAGTCAAGGCGTTTTCAATCGTTTCCCGACACACCGTTGTACGTGTGCCATATTCCGCCCTTGCGTGTCTCGAAGAACGTGTTCGTGAGAGCTAGCCTGTTTTCCGTTGCAAAACTCAACAGCAGTAGCATGTCATCGTCGTTGAGCTCATCACACCCTTACATTCCTATGACTCTTCTGTCCCCTCCGTCCAACCTATCTCCCGTCCGCGCGTTGGCGTCCATTAGGACATACATACACACATTCTTTTGAAGGGATCCTCCGCACGAGGCTGTCAAGTTTTCCCCAGAACACGCGCTTGCTGTCGGCGGTTGAAGGTTCGGTTGGAGCATACGCGGCTACGAACTTGACCGCTCCACGGTGACCTGGCAACAGAAACCTCATGGTCATAAGGCGTTCGGCGATAAGCTCCGTAGTGAACGTGGATGTCTTGCACAGTGACTCTTTGACGGCTATCCCCACACCATGGACTCCACCAGTCTCCGTGCCCCAGCAGAATACCCGGAAACCCGCTGCTGCAAATTCCGTTCGACCTGCCCTCCGTGTCTCCTGCATTCCTACCACCGATACGTCTTGTCTCGCTGCTCGTGTAGAACGCTATTGGCTCGCCCGTATCCATGGCCCCGTTTGCAGCCAAAGTCCGCACATTCCAGATTGCTACCCTAAGAAGTTGACCCTGCTGTCTCTTTCGCGCGGCGCGCGTTGCTCTCTTCGCTAGCCTACGCGCCGCCCGACCCCTCCCTTTCCTCCATCTTCCCCTCTTNNNGTAGCTGTCTTGTGTGTCTCATATATGTTATGTTGGGAAGGTGCAGACGAGAGGTGTTGGGTACTGTTGGTTAGTCGGGCGTTTTGTGTGTGGCACCCTGTTAGTTGTAGGACATACAGTCTCCATCAGTTTACATAGGTATTTTCAGTTTGGTATGCATATGTGCGGAGTATGTGCGGCTGATGTGCGGGCACACGGGAGTGGTGTCACCGTTTATAAAAATAAATAAATAAATAAATAAATAAAAAATGTGACACAATATGACACAACGAGTCCATCTCTATCATAGAAAAGAGTCAGAGACAGATTAACAACTTTTTTTGTTTTCTCGCTATTTTCTTGCGAACACTCGGACTACGCGATAGTTACCCCGTTTTCTTGCCTTGTTTCCCATCGAGTTGTCCATTCCATGAAGTTACCATTGGACAAGTCAGCGCTGACTAGTCTAATGGTGTAACTTCATGGAATAATAGGTGTAACTTTATCGAATATTGTCTTCCTGTCCCGCACCAGTAGACTAGTTGTTGTTGTTGTTTCTCACATTAGCTCCATTGTCCACAAGAAATGGGGAGCCCGTGGTCCCAAAACCCGGCACATACTACGCCGCGGGGAAACAAAACAAACATAGGGTACAAACCACTCGGAAAAAGGAAAAAACGATAGAAAGAAAAGAACAGCTATGCATACCTCACCGACCGTTCGACAAAAGAGCCCTCGGAAACCGATCCAAATAAAACACAAACAAAAATAAAGGATGACGCTTCCCACACCCGCCGAAAGAAAAAATCAAAGGGTAACGTACCAGCACCAGGCACTACGCACCAGGGCATGGGAGTAACTGAGCAAACAGGACAAAGAGGCGGCAGATGGGCTCACAGCCAGACGTACAAAAACAAAAGCAACAGCAAATGCGAGATCAAGGTACCCAACACAGCAGAGTTGTTGTTGTCTTCAGTTCCGATCTCTCTCTACCCAGTACCTCCGTATGTCCGTACTGATCCAACACTCGACGCGGTCGATTCCCGTGGTCGCAGGCTAACTTACCCTAAAAAGGTACACTTAGGGTTATGGGTTAAATGGCCCCGAGGAGTTCGCAAGTCGATAAAAATCAACGAAAGATATTCTGGAAACCTCCACTCCCTCTGCGCGCTATGCGAGGTAACAACTGAGACTAGGGGTCAACATTACGGGCCTAGGCAGGGAGGTCATGAAAAAAGAAACACAGTACAGAGGCCGAAGGCAATAAAAAGGACATACATGGAGGAGTATAGCATACAGCAGGGAGGGAAACAGGGCGCAACAACATCAGCCGGGTACATCGTTCGCCACAAGTGCTGCCTCGGCCGCCCTACTCGCTTCTACAGCAGTGCCCGGTCGCCGTTTCTTCCTCCCCACCCCTGCTTCGCCCCCCCCGGTGTTTGCCATCGGGGTCGGGTTTTCGTCGCTTGGCAA